GAGAGAGAGAGAGAGAGAGAGAGAGAGAGAGAGAGAGAGAGAGAGAGAGAATGTCTAATTTCTATTTTAGGTGAAACAGGACCCACTTAGACAAAATACTTAATGTAAGCTTATAAGCTTAGTTTTTTGCAATATTTATTAATGTTGGATAAATTACACAATGTTATCTCATAATCATGCTCTCTAAATTGACAAGGAAAATGATACTATCACTAGGTTGTTGTATAGAAATACCATGTGTTAATTATGAGAATAGTGCTTAAAGATAGGCATTTGACAAAGGGTGGCCATTTTTAACTTAACAGTACATTAAACTTACAACACACCTAGATGTGTTTCTGTGATGTTCTTATCTTTGTGGGGGCACTTCCCTAAGATAAAATTCTTATAACAATCTATCAATGGACAAGAAGAATTAAGAGGAAAAACAGAGTACCTCTATAAACACTTCTCATGATAGCACACTTGAAGTTTCTGAGGAAGTCATCTGGGCATTCCCAGTACTATAAATACACACACATACATACAGTTTTAAAGATTTATTATGTATACAGTGTTCTGTCTGCCTGTACTCCTGCAGGCCAGAAGAGGGCACCAGACCTCATTATAGGTGGTTGTGAGCCACCATGATGACAACTTTACTACCATGCATAACTGTCTCACTGGAATAGACTGTCCTGAAAGGTTACACTGCACTAGGAATGCAAGGTGACAAGGTTCTGGACAATGAGTTGACCTTGTGCCTTCAAACTTGAAGCAGGATGAGGTAGTCTAGATCAGTGGTTCTCAACCCTCCTCCTAGTGTTTCAACCCCTTAATACAGTTTTAGGTTGTGGTGATCCCTCCCCTCAACCATAAAATTATTTTGTTTCTACTTCATAACTGTAATTTTGCTGTTGTTATAATAAATCGTGATGAAAATATCTGTTTTCTGATGATCTTAGGGGGCCCTAGAGAAAGGGTCATTTGACTCCACAACCCACAGATTGAAAACGGCTGGTCTAGGTGAAAGACACTGCTTGAGTGATTAGCGTGGATGTGGAGTCAAGCAGGAGTCTGAGCCAAAGTAAAGGAGACAGACACAGAATAAAGGCAGCAATGCCAGGTCTTCATAGTACTTTTACTTACCTATGGCAAGTTATCAATGATCAATGCTTTTTAATGAAAGCAGTTTCTCAGGGCTTACTGCAAGCTACTGATAATCTTCCTTGCTTACTGCAGATGAGACTGTGGTGATTTGAACAAGAATGGCTCCATAGGCTCAGAGTTGATGCCTGGTCATTAGATATAGGCAATGCTTGACGCGGATTAGGAGGTGTGGTCTTGTTGGAATAAGTGTGGCCTTGTTGCAGGGAAAATGCCACTGGGGGTGGTAGGCTTTGGGGTTTCAAATGCTCTAGCCGGGTCCAGTGTTTCTCTGTGTCTGCTGCCTACAGATCCAGATGTAGAACTCTCAGCTCCTCTCCAGCACCAACCGTGCCTGTCTGCACGCCACCATACTGATAATGAACAAAGCCTTGGAAACTGTAAGCCAGCCCCAGTTAAATGATTTCCTTGATGAAAGTTACTGTGGTCTCTTCACAGCAATAGAACATTGAGTAAGACAGAGACTCACATTGGCCATAAAAATCACATTTCCTAAGTATTCACAAGTATTAGTGATAGTCAAAGGGACTTTGTCACATTATTAAAAAGTGGAGGCATGTGTCCCTGGTCCAAAATCAATAAAAATAATTAGCAAAATTAAAGTATCATGACTAAAAACAAAGAAAAATAAATGATTTATTAAAGTTAAAAAGTGACACATCTATTTCAGCTCTATGATCGCACTTCCTTACCCTGTCCACACGTCTATTGCAGCTCTAAGACTGTACTTCCTTACACTGCCCACACGTCTATTGCAGCTCTATGACTGTACTTCCTTACCCTGTCCACATGTCTATTGCAGCTCTAAGACTGTACTTCCTTTCACTGCCCACACGTCTATTGCAGCTCTAAGACTGTACTTCCTTTCACTGCCCACACGTCTATTGCAGCTCTAAGACTGTACTTCCTTTCACTGTCCACACGTCTATTGCAGTTCTATGACCGTACTTCCTTACACTGTCCACAGACAAGGGCTAAGGAAATACAGCAAGAAAGTCCCACATAGTCAGCAAATATACAGATCTACTAAAGGGGCTGCAGAAGGCTCCATCGGCAAAGTTACTTACTGTTCTTTCAGAGGACTCAGGTTCAGTTCCCAGCACCCACATGGCAGTTTGCAACTGTCTTCAAGTTCAGTCCCAGGGGATCCAAAGTCTTCATCTGACCTTCAAGAGCACCAGGCACAGAAGTGGTACACATACACATACTGTCAAAACACTCATACACATAAACTAAAAAATCTTTAAAAAGAAAAAAACACAAATGAAGGACCATCTAAGAACTCTGCTAATCTCAAACAATGCCCTGACAGATACACAGACTAAGACACTTCGGTTCTGAGCAGGCCATTTCAGTCCAAGTCAATCAAGTTGGGTAGGACTGGACTCAAAATCAGTGAGCTGAAAAGCAACTCCACGCTAAAGAACAGCTAGCTGCTAGAGGGGTTTCCCCGGGAAATTTCCTCCTCCGGTTTGTCCTCTTGCTCCTGAACATCCTTTTTTATTTGTATGTCTCTAGAAAAGACCTGGCAACATATTTCCCCACAGTTAAGGCAGTAGCAACAAAGGACTCCTAACAATTACGTTTAAAAGATATGAAGGGAAAATAATATATAACAAGAGAAAATAAAAACAAAATTCAAAACACAAAACGAAAGTTTTCGGACTAAATCTAGCGACATCATATTTGTAGGTGTAAATAAATACGCCAAGCAGAGAATGAAAAGGCGCAAGGGTAATTTCCCACCTAAAATCCTGTGTCTGAATCCTTCTATTTTAGGCTACAACTAAAGGAAATGAAACTGAGTAACCCTTACCAGCGCTCCTCAAGCCTAGCCAATTTTGTAAACGGCATCAAACAGCTCTTTCATCAGAAACCATCAGCCATAGGCATTTCCTCTTATACTCCCTCAGACCGTCCGCAAAGCAGCAGCTTCTAACCGTCGACACCGCAGTCACCCCTTTAGCGACCCGATTCGGACAGACTTCTCAACTTTCCCTACTCATCCCACGTACGGTCCACCGGCTCCATCACTGGCTCTGAACGTCAAGTCTACCCCGGATCCTCCTAGAACGGCCCAAGCGATCGACCCGCTCTGTGTCTCCACTGCCTGAACTAGTCCCCTCCCCCCAGCAACAAGCCGCGGAGCGCCGAGAGGCTCGATCTCTGTAGCCTGGGCCCGCCCCCACCAGCCCTCTCCAGGCCTCGGAGCGCCGAGCGGCTCGATCTCCGCGGCCTCAGCCCGGCCCCACCGCCCGGCGCCAGGCGGCTGCCCGAGCACAGAGGCGCGAGAGCTGCGGCCGCGCTACAAGGATC